CACTTGATCAAATTCGATGAAAATTTTTTTATTCGAATTCTACAGATCTGTAAAATTCGAATAAAAAAAATTTCATCAAATTTGATCAAGTAATTGTCGAGATTTTTTCGATCAAAGTTTTTAAAATATTAAAACTATATTAAAAAAATGGCTTTATTAAATCATAATACAAGTTTGCTGTAGAGGCCCCATAATCAATTACACAATAATTTTTTTGTTTTTAAGCCCAAATTTTTATATAATTTATTTTATTTACATAGTTTATTATATTTACATCATATTTATATTATATTTAAATCATATAAATATATATATAAAAAAAAAAAAAATACTATGAAAAAAATATCATCATACATTAACAGGTTCTGCACAAAAAACACCAGCAATGAATTTATGTCGATTTCAATAAAGAAGACTCAACTACATCATACTTGAAAAGAAAAGTAACGAAGTGCAACCAAAAAAGAATGAGAAAACAAAAGCCACAAACTTCAACAAATTTATATTGATTTTAACGAGGAAGATTTAATTATATATCTGGTAGAAAAAAACAAAGTGGTAGCCAAGTGCAAACCAAAAAGAACAAAAAAACAAAAGCCATGTACTTCAATGACAAATTTATATCAATTTCAATGAAGACATCTGGAAAGAAAGAATGAAGTGGTAGCCAAGTGCAAACCAAAAAAGAATAAGAAAACAAAAGCCACAAACTCCAACAATGAATTTATATCAATTTCATCGAAGAAGACTCAACTACATACCTGGAGGGAAAGAATGAAGTGGTAGCCAAGTGCAAACCAAAAAAAAAAAGAGAAAACAAAAGCCATGAACTCTAGCAACGAATTTATATCAATTTCATCAAAGAAGACTTAATTACATATCTGGAAGAATAAGTGCAAAACAAAAAAGAATGAGAAAACAAAAGCCACAAACTCTAGCAATGAATTTATATCATTTCTATCGAAGAAGACTCAACTACATATCTGGAGAGAAAGAACAAAGTGGTAGTCAAGTGCAAACCAAAAAAGAACAAGAAAACAAAGCTATGAACTCTAGCAGCAAATTTATATATACCTGGAAGAATAAGTGCAAACCAAAGAAGAACAAGAAAACAAAAGCCACAAACTCCAGTAACAAATTTATATCAATTCTATCGAAGAAGACACCTGGAGAGAAAGAATGAAGTGGTAGCCAAATGCAAACCAAAAAAAGAACAAAAAAGCAAAAGCCACAAACTTCAACAATGAATTTATATCGATTCTATCAAAGAAGACTTAACTACATACCTGGAAGAATAAGTGCAAACCAAAAAAGAATGAGAAAACAAAAGCCACAAACTCCAGCAATGAATTTATAACAATTCCATCAAAGAAGACTTAACTACATACCTGAAAAAATAAGTGCAAACCAAAAAAGAATGAGAAAACAAAAACTATGAACTCCGCAATGAATTTATATCAATTCTATCAAAGAAAACACCTGGAAGAAAATAACAAAGTGGTAGCCAAATGCAAACCAAAAAAGAATAAGAAAGCAAAAGCCACAGACTCTAACAATGAATTTATATCGATTCCAATGAAGAAGACACCTGGAGGGAAAGAATGAAGTGCAAACCAAAAAAGAACGAAAAATAAAAGCCACGAACTCCAACAACAAATTTATATTAATTCTATTGAAGAGAAGAAAACTCAACTATATACCTGAAAGAAAAGAACAAAGTGGTAGCCAGGTGCAAACCAAAAAAGAATAAGAAAGCAAAAGCCATGGACTTCAATGAATTTATATCGATTCCAATAAAGAAGATACCTGGAGAGAAAGAATGAAGTGGTAGCCAAGTACAAACTAAAAAAAAATGATAAATAAAAGCCACAAACTCCAACAATGAATTTATATCAATTCCATCGAAGAGAAGAAGACTCAACTACATACCTGAAGGAAAAAAACAAAGTGGTAGCCAAGTGCAAACCAAAAAAGAATGAGAAAACAAAAGCCACAAACTTCAGCAACGAATTTATATCAATTCTATCGAAGACAACTCAACTACATATCTGGAGGGAAAGAATGAAGTGGTAGCCAAGTACAAACCAAAAAGAGAATGAGAAAACAAAAACCATGAACTCCTACAACGAATTTATATCAATTCTAATGAAGAAGACTCAACTACATACTTGAAAAAATAAGTGCAAACCAAAAAAACCAAAAAAACAAAAGCCAAAACTCCAACAACAAATTTATGTTGATTCTAACGAAGAAGTGGTAGCTGAGTGCAAACCAAAAGAGACCAAAAGAATAAAAGCCACAAACTCCAACAATGAAATTATATCGATTCCAATGAAGAAGGCTTAACTACATACCTAGAGGAAAAAAAAGAAGTGGTAGCCAAGTGCAAACCAAAAAAGAATGAGAAAACAAAAGTCACAAACTCCAACAACAAATTTATATCAATTCTATCGAAGAAGACTCAACTACATATCTGGGAGAATAAGTGCAAACCTAACAGTGACAAAAACAATTTAAAAGAAAAAAAAAATATTAGATAATTAGATCAGAATGATCATATATGTCCATGCATACTGTACATATTTGGGCTAGTATCAATGGTCAGATTAGTACATAATTGACAATCATATAACTTTTGTGAAGTTTAATTAGTTAAATAGGCCAGAGACATATAAGCTATATATCTCTGGCTAGAGATGTCTAGAATTTCTCATAGCATATTGGTTGCTATATAATTCTCATTTTGTGAAATTTCTTTAATGATATTAAAAATTAGTTATTTGTTGTAAATTGTAATAGGACTTTAATGTTCAAATTTCTTACTAAAAAGAAACTGCATATGACATATATAAAGATTTTCACAATTATCACACAGAGATATCTTTTATAATGCAATATAAAAGTTGATCAAAGATACTTTATGACCAACTTTATACAATTAGTTTTTGATCTATTGCTACAAAGATATAGCAGCTCAAAGTTCAGGTTAAAATGCTTGCTTTGTGGCCTTCAGATAAAGTTTTACTTTTTGTTTAGGCTATATAAAATGCTTTATATTGTAACTGTAAAGTATGCTATGTAACTTGTATCTTTAAAAGTTATTACAACTAATTAGAATAGAGATTTTACCAAAAAATTTTTTTAGAGTTTAATTTTCTTCTAAAAATTTAAGTGTACAAATTTGAATACTTAGTCTGACAGTTTAAGAAATAGGTTTTTAGTAGTAAATTATAGTTGCAGGCTTTGAATATTTAAAAAGTCATAAAATTTCAATGGTCAACTTCAGAATTAGCAACTTCAAACTTCTAACAAATACAAACTTCTACTGCAAAGTAAAATGCACAAGAAACTAAAAGATATTTTAAATATAAAAATGCCTTAAAACAATTTTTTTTTACTTAAGAAAGAGAAAGTTGATTTTTTTTTTACTGATCTACTATCTTTTTTTAGATCTAAAATTGTATTTATAGTAGAACAGATTAGAGCTATAATCATAAATTGCCAGATAATATCATTATTGAACAAATTTGTATATAATAGCAATTTAACTTAACTGAACAAATAATCATCTGACACATGCTGTGAAGTAGCACATGTCAGCCAATCATTTACTAGTTAAGCCAAATTACTATTATATACAAATTTTTATCTAATAATATATACTTATTATGTTATAGATATGAAAGCCTACTTTAAAATTTTTAAATTATAACACTTATTCATGTTCATAGCTGTGAATATTAGCAAATATAACAGAAACTATCAGAATATTGAAGTAATTTTTATACTAAATTCTTATTGTTTAAATAAACTAGTACAATAGATAGTACAAAGCACTACCTATCTTATTTAATAATTTTAAAATTAAAGTTAAAACTCTTACTAAAAATTAAAATTCTTACTAAAAGTCAAAACCCTTACTAAAAGTTAAAAGTTTTACTGAAAGTCAACAGTTCTATTAAAAGTTAAAACCCTTATTGAAAGTCAAAAGTTTTATCAAAGCTAAAAGTTCTACCAAAATTTTAAAGTTTTACCAAAGTTAAAAGTTTTACCAAAGTCAAAAATTGTATTAAAATTTAAAACTTTTACCAAAAGTCAAAAGTTATACTAAAATTTAAAATCTTTACTAAAAGTTAAAAGTTCTACCAAAAGTTGAAAGTTTTATTGCCAGTTTAGCTAAAATATAGTATAGGTTACCCTTTTTACTAGTATTATATTAATTTTGGCCAGAATTATTACAAGAGGACCTGCATATATATATATATAATTCTATATAATATGCTTTTTTATATAATTTTTAGAGTATATACTCTATTTTTGGAGTATATATCTTATTTTTTGAGGTATATACCCTATTTTCTAGGATATATACCCAATTTTTTAAGATATATTTTATGTTATATAACCTCTATTTTTAGGGTTTAGTATCCTTTTTTATATTATTAGAAATCATATAAGCACTTTAAGGTATATACTATATTTTTAGAATATATACCACAATTTTTAGAATATATATCCTAAATTTTAAGGTAGGGATAAGCTATACTATATTTGAGCCAAAAGGGCTACTAAAAAGCAAAAGTTTTAATGAAAATCAAAAGTTTTATTAAATTTAAAAGTTTTGCCAAAAGTTAAAAGTTTCACTGAAATTCAAAACCCTTATTGAAAATTATAATTTTCACTAAAAATTGAAAGTTGCTAAAAATTAAAAGTCTTACCAAAATTTAAAACTTAATGAAAATTGAAAGTTTTACTGAAATTTAAAATTCTTAACAAAATTAAAAGTTTCACCAAAGTTAAAAGTTCTACCAAAAGTTAAAAATCATACTAAAATTTATAACTCTTACCAAAAATCAAAAGTTACACCAGTTATAAGTTCTATTAAAAGTTGAAGTCTTGACAAAATCAAAAGTTTTAACAAAAGTTAAAAGTTATACCAAAATTTAAAATCTTACTAAAAATTAAAAATATCACTAAAATTCAAAATCTTTGCTAAAATTCAAAAGTCTTACCAAAAGTCAAAGGTTCTACTAAAAGTTAAAAAGTCTTACTAAAATTCAAAACTTTTACCAAAAATCAAAAGGCTCACTGATCATAAGTTTTACCAAAAGTTAAAAGTACTGAAAGTCAAAAATCTCACCAAAAGTTAAAACTCTTACCAAAAATTACAAAGTTTTACTAAATATCAGAACTATGAGCTAAGATATAACTCTGGTCACTTTTGTATTTTTGATTAACCATATCATTTTTTATTTATTGATAATAAATATGTTCATGATAATTATTAACCATGTAGAACAATTGAAAAAAATATAGTATTAATATATAATAATTATCCAAACTATAAACTTAGTGTAATAATACTCTTTTCATAGATCATTTTGACCAAAAACAGACAAAAATTTTGCCTATAATAATTAAGTATTATCTCAAGTTTTTACTAAAAAAACTACTCCTAATACCTTAAGTAAACTTGTTTACAAGAAGATTTTATATATATTTTGAAAGTTTTAAGTTCTTAGCTTTCAAATTCATAGTATAAAACTACCTTAACAGCCTTTGGCCTCCAAATTGTTATTTCTCTCAATTTTTTGAAAACTCTCTTTACAACCTTTCTTGGGCTATTAAGAAAAGTTGTTAAGCTCATTTCTACAGTCATAACAAGTCCTAAAAAAAGACTATAAGCCTAATATTGACCAAAATATCACTTAAAATAATTTTAACTCTCCTAGCTTTTCTTTACTTTTTTTTGGTTTTTTTACTGCTACTTTTTCACCCTAGACATTTTTTATATAATATTAGATTATCTACCATATCTGGCAAGACCCTTCTGTTACATAGCCAACAACTTAGCCTACTGCAGCCATTGTTTTGTATACAGTCTTTATACAAAAAAGCTCTTACAAATTTGGCTCTATTAAACAAACTTTTTAGCATAGCTGACATAGCTCTTACATATCCAACAGCATAGCCTACTGCAGCCATTGCTTTGCATACAGCTCTCACACAGTCAACATCACAGCTTACTGCAGCCATTGTTTTGTACACGCGCTTATACAAAAAAGCCTTTACAAATTTGGTTTTATTAAGGAAACTCTAATTCATACAGCCGTATATAGCCCAAATTGTTATACCAAGCTACACTAGCCACACTAGCCACATCTAACCTACTTTTAGACAAGGACGTGAAATAATATCGATTTGCATCGATCATATGTAAATCGATATTTTTAGGCGATATCGTAGATAAATCGATATTTTTAAAAAATTTTATGTCGTGTAATATCATATGGCCAGAATTATAATAATTCTAGCCAAGATTTAAAATTTTGAACAAGTGATTATCAGTTATGATTATTATTTAATATTTTTTTAATGAAGTATGAAAGCATTGGAATAATTCTCTGAGAAATCTCAAGCAGAAGGCCACCATTTCAAACCTTTAATTGACACACAAAAGGGTTATATTAAAAAACAGCAATTTTTTTTTTCAAATACTGCCCAAATGTGTTACAGTATACTCTCATACGCAAGAATTTCTGGAGGACTTTGTGGCTGACTCTGGGCTTTTAATGTGCTATTTCTGTTGCCACTCTGTGAATTGGAGAATCAAGGCAAATATTACGGCTCATATCAAGACAAGTGGGTATAAAGCAAAAAAAAAATACATCTATTATCAAAAGGCAAACAAGGATTTAGGGGCTGTATTAATGAAATTTTATAAATAAAGTTTTGTTACAAATGCTTTTTCAAATTTTGATCACATTATACTAATCCTTCATCCTGATTGGTTGAACTGGTAATATCGATATAAATCGATATTTTTTACCAAATCGATCGATATTTTTGCAAAATCAAATCAATATTATTCTCTGTCCCTGCTTTTAGATTATATATTAGGTCATACAAAAGCTATACAAGTCATAGAAGCCACAGCACAACCTCAGAACCCCAGTTCTAGTCTGCTACCCGTTTATAAGTATTCTATATTACTTTATATTTGGATCTCATTTGCTAAAAATTTTACTAAGTCTTTTGAATTAGTGTTACTAAGCAAATTTGTTGATACTATGCCTACCTTAAGTATTACAGAACCAGATATCATAGATCTTATAACAAATATCGCAATAGCTTTGGTATCAGAATTTATAAAGATTCTTTTAATATCCCTAGACCAATTTCAAAAAATACAAGACCAACTAAATGTACTTTTACTAAACTCAGAAATGTGACCAAGACCTGCTACTACTTTGAAACTCCAAATACTTCAGCTATTATTAAATATTTATATGGCAAATACCATACCCACTTTATTTCTAAAGAAAACAAGAAATATAGCAAACCTACTAATATCAAAATCATTAGCCAAACAGGAAAAACAGAACTAACCCAAAAACTAGCTGCTGTTGCTGAATTTGTCTCTCTCTCCAATCTCATTATCATCTCTTATGCAACATCAACATACATGTCCACACTACAAACAACCCATCAATTGTAAAGTCTCTAACAACTAACACCAAGTAGCAAGTGATACTATGATATATAATGACAAACTATACTATAGATCTTGTGTAGAAAATCTCTCAAATCTACAATGTGGATCTTCTAAGAATACAGACACTGTATTTATCTCTAAACTGAGACAATCACTCAATGAATTTCATATCTATAACCCTTTAGCTTTGGAATTTAGTTCTCTAACACCTTTACCTAAAGCTCAGATGAAATAGATATAGACAAAGATACCCTTGTTAGAAGTAATCCTAATATGACCAACTACCACTATGAACTTACCTATATAGAAAAGTTAGAATTATCAAAATCTAAGTTAACTGAAGTATCTAACACTCTTCAATACTAACTATCCTAACAATTACCACTATTACCATATTCTCAACCTCTTGCTAAACATCAGAGCAATCTAAATCTACTCTTACTCAAAACCCTAATACTCAACAACAATCTCAGCTGACAATACAGCAACAACAAACCCAACAGCAACAGCCAGTTAGTAATTCTAATAATACTCATATCAGTACTAGTAACTCTCAACAAGTCCAAAATACTTCTTCAAACCAACAAGAACCAAACTTAATACTTTAACAGTTACCTTCCTTATATTAGGATAATACTGAACAACAACAATCATTAACTAATAACACATATCAACAATCTTCACAACAATCTCTACAAGCTAATGACCAAAATCCTACTGCAGACCAAGTCAAACCAACACTTGACTGGCTGGCTAAATTCCTTGTCACAAAAAAAATAGAAAAAAACACAAATCTTCAAACAGAACTTGCTCAAAAAACTTTCTATTTCCTTAAATCATATCTCTTCAACTTCTATCCAGGCAAAGAGATTAAAGCAGCAACAACAAACTGTAAAGCTCTTAAAGCTAGCTTCTATTAAATTATTTGCAAAATGGTAAGAAAAAGACCTCAATTCTTAACAGACTTCATACATGAACATAATCCAGATGTCGACAAAGCTTTTACTATCCCATTCTCAGTTCTAGAAAAAATACTCAAGAAACTTATTTTGGTTTTTACAACAGTCCTCTTTACCAAATTTAACTATTCTGAGATTTTTGCTTCATCTGCAATAGTTCCACCCCACAAACCACAAAACAGACTACAATTCTGTATTAATCTTGCTCGATTACACTTATATATATCTAATAATTACTAAACTATCAACTATGCCAAGTTTTCAGAAGACATCAAATTACATCCTAAGTGATTTAAAATCACATCACAAGTTATTGACTATGACAAAGAAGACAAATATCTTAAGATATATATAGATAACAGATTCAATATTACACTCCATTTTAATATTTCTAAAACTCTCTTTCTTAAAAAATTCAATATACCATTTTTAAAAAACTCCCTTAAGCATTTCAATGAATGGTTTGAGTTATTCTACACTAAATATAGCTAACAATTTAGTGATGCTCTTGACAAAACAAAAGTTTGCAACTCTTTAAAATACCAGTTTAAACAACAGTTCATTTCACATCTTAAAGAATTAATTCCAACAACAATTTCATTAATAGAACCTTCTTCCTTCTAAGAATATCGTAATAACTGCATCAGACCACCATATACTCATATGCTCAGATATTCTATGCAACATTTAGAAAAAATAGAACCTGAAGATAAAGGCAAATCACCAACAACAGAACCAGAAATGCAAAATAATACTCAAAAAACACTATACAAATATAATTTAATAAGCTTTATAAAGAATTTCTTGAAAATTCATTCGATAAATAGTCAACAAAAGAACATTATGAAGTTAAAAAAGTATTGAGCTTGTATTTGTTTAATACTATTATTAAATATATATTTACAAAAAATACTTTTTAAATATTTAATAATTCAAAAGTATTTATTTATATTTAAAATTAATAATTATTAATTATTAAAATATAATATAAATTAAATACTAATTTTTAATATTTTATAAATACTTATTTAATATATATAAAAAAATTAATTTAATTTAATATTTATTAATTAATATAATAATTAGTATTTAATAAGTAATTAATTTTAATACTTTATAAATATTTATTAATATATATTTATAAAATACTTTAATTTAATATTAATCAATTATTATTTTTTTTTTTTTGAAAACAAAGTTTTGACTCAGTTTTTTATTAATCAAAGTTATGTAGATACATTTTAGAATACATTACATATACTCTAAAAACTAAAACTAAGACTTGGGCTAATTTACCTACAACCCAAACTTTACCAAGAGGGGCCCCAAAGGCCTCACCTAGATTACAACTTGTGAAAGTAATTTAGGGATGCATTGTTTTGTATAAATGATTTGGACCATTTTTTCATTTTTATTTTTATTATTTCGTTAGTGTCTCTTTTTGAGGCTTCTGTAGTTGTTGCTATTTCATCAGAGTTTGTATGTTGGATCTCTTGTGATTGCATATTTGCAGTATGGTTTGCGGTTTCTCGATATCTTAATATCCAGATTTTGTTGTAGAAGGCCTTGTTTATTTTGTGTAGTATAAGTGCTGTAGGTGTATGTTTTTTCTTTGTACTTTTTAGTATGTGGTTGGCTGTAGTTGCTGAGACTTTGAAGATAATTTCTGCCAAAGTATCTGATAAGTTGTTGTTATCTGTTGTAGTTGGTATTTGGAAGATATTGAGTAGTTGCGCTTCTGTTTCTCTTGGAGTTTGTGTTTTGGTGCTTATTTTGGTTATGGTTTTTTTGATAATTTGAGATACTGTTGTAATATTTGCCAAGCAGAGAATTTAGTGTATATTTGTTTCTGTGATTAGGGTACATCTTGGGCAATTTGGGCTGGGGTATTTCTTTGGGTCACAGGTGTGGAGATTCTGGAGTATAGGTAGTTCGTTGAGTAGGAGTTTAAGTTTGAATACCTTGACTTGAGAGTGTTTGGTAAGGGTGAATCTTGTGGTTAGTTTGTCATGATAATTGAGGTACTCATGCATCGATTCCCATGAAGTCTGGGTTCTGTTTGGGTCCCATCTTTCCATTCTGTTTTGTGAGTACCATTTGGCGATGTGTTTCGCATTTTGGATGTGTTAAATGAATCTTCTTGGTTTGTGTATGATGCAGGCTTGTTGCCAGTATGCAGTGTATTTGTCATGTCGAATTTGAGTGTGAATTATATCGAGGCTTGTAATGTTGTTTGCTGGTTGAGTATGGGTAATAGAATTGTTGTAGGCAATGGTGATAGATAGTTGTTTCTTTTCAATGAGTGCCTTAAGTGTGAGCAAGTTGGGCCATAGGTGTATTGATAGAATAGGTGTAATATTGTAAGCTGGTATGTTGAAAATTGTATTAGCGAGATGTATGAACTTTTGGTCTTCAGTGTAGATGGTAAGTTGTGTATTGTTGTTAAGGGTTAGTGCGAGGCTAGATAATGTGTCTATAAGGATTTTGTTTTTGGATAGCCAAGTAGGTGTAGTTTAACAGAGTTTGATATCAGTATGGGGTATGTGCCAGGTCACTTTGTGAGTCATTTGGGTATTGGTAGTTAGTTTAGAATAGCTCATAGCTATATCTATTTTATTTCCTTTTGATAATTGTTGGTGTATTTGCCAGAGGGCTTGAGCTGCCTCTATAGGGTATATTGAGCTATTGATGTCATTGTGGATGGTT